TTTTTCAAGTAAGATGACATAGACATTTTCTAATTCATAGATACATGAATTACTTACTTACTTACTTACGCCTGTTACCTCCCAGTGGAGCATAGGCTGCCGACCAGCATTTTCCAACTCACATTTTCCTGGACCTTCCTATCCAGTTATATCCAATTGTTGTTCATTCTTCTCGTGTCTTTCTCCATTTCCATGTGAGGGCTTGCCTTGTGACACAGTTCGGTGCCTTCCTCAATGTGTGTCCTATCCACTTCCAGTATTTCTTCCTAATTTCTTCCTCCACTGGAGTCTGGGTTATTCTCTTCCACAGTGGGTTTTTGCTGATAGTGTCTGACTAACTGATCCGAATTATTTTGTATATACAACTGTTATTAATCACTTGTATCTTCTGCATGATTACTTTCGTAGTTCTCCAAGTTTCCGCTCCATACAGTAGAACTCAGCCTAGAACCCCTCTGGGTCTATTGCCGTTCCCAAGCTCGGATGAAAGAGGAGGGCTGGGCATAGAGTAATCGACCCCATCTAGTAGAAAACTAACTCACTAAAAAACGCTAACCAGAAAAATGAATTTATGACACCCCGCTGAAATAAATAGATTTCCCCATGAGTATTTTGTTTTCATTTCGATTGTAATACTCTTAATAAACTAAAAAAAAGTAGTTAATATTTCCAAATTCAATGAATAAGCCAGATGAATGTGAACATGTAATAAGCGAAGTAAATGTATTTCAAATGAAATACTGAAAGAGAATTATTCAAATTCTATCTTTACATACTTTATAAAAACTGCCCCCCCCCTCCCCGACTTTGTTCTTGTTCACTACCGTATCATTACGATGGTAACCAAAATTTCGAACTTTTTAGTAAATAAAAGAGTTCATAATCACTAATTGAAACTTTACATTTCTAAAATTCACATATTTTTATCCACAAGCTTTAAAATAATAGTAATCATAATTTATCAAGGAAATTCTCATAGATTAAATCTATGGAATGAATATTCATATAAAACTGGCGCCTGAAAAAAAACTCGTCGGAATTACGTTGTACATATTGAGAAATTCTAATTGTTAAGAGAGAAAAATATCGAAACTTTGATGTTGTTTTTTTTAATGTCACGAATAGACTGTCTTAAAATTCTCCTGGTGAATTATTTATTTATTTAAACACATAAACATTAGTACAAGGGCTCACCGAATACATATGTGCCACACAAGTCACTTGATTTATGTGTGGGCTGTTATACTTCCCGAGTGCCCAGACCTAAGCAGGTGGTTTTCTTAGGGGGTCACACCCTAAGGCAATGAAGCAACTTTGGGAGATGCAGTTCCATGATAGCTGGTGACCAACGATTGGTTCATACGCCATTTGTTCCCTCAGTATCCTGGAGCCCATATTCACCACTGATTTGGAATCAGGGTTTTCCAAATCCCCTAGACGGATTCTCTGGATCTACCAACCTGATTAATGCGTCAAATACTCTCTTTTCGTCCTCTCAATTTTGTAAACAACAGTAATTCCAAGAGAATGTAGAGATTAGTACTTCCCTGTTAATGGTTGTATTCGTATGGTCATGTGAGAGTATTTCGAGAGAGAAAGTTGACTCTTTTCGTTCTCTGACGTATCAGAGCATTTGGTGAAGTCTTTGAACTAATTATTTTAATCGTAAAGTATTTATTTTCACTGGGTTCTTTACTAATCAAAACTCTGACTTCGTGAATGTTCTTCATGTCTCTGATCAGTATATAGTTGATGTCTGTTTCAATATATCTGTTGACTGTTAAAAACTTCAATATTCTTCTAATCCTATTCATTTCTACAATTATCCACATCCACTTGAAATAAACGGAAGTACTTTTTAGGGTTTGACAGCTAATTCATACAATACAACAATAATGTAACTAAACTTCTTGAGCTACAACTCTTTTCCTATCTTAAACTTCTGTTGTCACGATTTAAGAAACAAAAATGTCCTGTATGCTTGTGTGAAATTCATAAAATGCTTTGATGAAATAAATAACAATTGTAAGCAAGGATGAATAGTAACTAGCAATGGAATCCAGAACGTGCTTTTCATCCTATTTCGGACTCGTCAGCTAGATGTATCTGCACCTCAGAGTTGTTCACTCTGGATTCTACTACTAGCCACTATCCATCTTTGTTTATAATGCTTGTGACCTCAAGAAATATCGGCGCAATACGCACAGTATGCACATATGCTATTAAGAGGCTGATCAATTGTAGTCCTAAACATTAATGGGAAGACTCAAACAACCAAAACAAAATGAATTTAAATAATGAATCGTTTACTACTGAATTAAGAAAAAGCTTTTTCTCCGGATAATTGTTGGGAATCATCAGAAAACTATGGATCTAGGATTCTTGCACATCTGTGTAGCAGGTACATTAAACTCCTTTACTTAAACTTCAGTTCATTTCTTTGATAAAGTTTAATTTCCAGAAAAAAACTAATCCGAAATTCATTTGTACATAGTAGATTCGATTCACATATTATTTGATTATTATGGTTTGAATCACGAACCGACCTTATTTAGACCCCTATTAAAAATCTGAAATTACTGAAAACCGTTTATTCTTAATACGGAATATCCCTGTGGTTCAAATCCAAAACCTTACAGCATGAACTCTGATCCAGTGGGTTCAAACTCGCGCGACTAACCTAGGTCACTGAGTTAAAAAACAATGGTAATAACCAAGTGGTTTTGTTGCAGATACCGAGAAACTTAAGTACCGTTAGCACTAATCTTTTTAACTGAAAATTATGTGGTACTTTATCACAGTTGATCTATGATCATTTTACCTGGGATTCTGGGTAGTTTAACCACGAAGCATTCATTGTCCTCCTAGATAACCTCATCAGCACTAAGTCCAGACGTAAGTGACTGATTCAGATTTTACCGCATATGACTGACAGCCTGTTCTGTCTATCATAATGATTAGGAGCCAAAAGTGCAGGGAACAGAACTCTACCTAAATCATCCATCTGAGCTACAAATCCCAACCATACCAGATCTACAATCACGCTTAGTTTAAACGAAATAAGTGAATAAATTGAACATTTTACCAAGTATAAAGTATACCACTAATGAGGTACGAACCCACCATAAGTTTAACCAGAATCCCAAGATACTGTTGTGCAAATCGTTTCTACACAAAGCTATCCAATGCTCTTTGGTTTGAGGTAGTTTGGTTATAAGCAGTTGGTGATGAAAACCATCCACTAACCGATTTGCATTTTTCTGTCAAACAAAATTACAATTTCATTTCTCATTTGCAACACAATTGGCACTACAAGCAAAGGTAGATGGTGGCTTGAAATGTAATCCAGGATGCCTGTTTTGTCCGATCTGGGACTCGTCAATTGAATGTGCCTGCATCCCAGAGTTGAAGCTCAGTCCATGACTCGAACCCGGTGCAGTTCGCTCCAAACTTCATCACATCGATACAGAATATTAGGTGATTCAATGCACTCTACCAAATTTCCTACATGATATATCTTTCGCAGCTGAAGCCATTTGTACAATTGCTTTCTTTGACTCCCTTATCAAAATAGAGGAAACTAGAGATTTACTAGTGAAATTATTCTCCACTTTTTTCATTACTCCCAAAGTTTCAGAATTTCTCTTACTTTTTCTGCCTATATTTCATCTCAGGGAAGGCACGGAATACAATGAACAGCTTGTATGGAACTAGACAATTTCGACTTCGCAGATGGCCTGGCCCTTCTATCCCATACACATGAACAAATGCAGATGAAGACAACTAGTGTAGCAGCAGCCTCTGCATCAGTTGGCCTCAACATACACAACGGAAAAAAGCAACATCCACATATATAGCACAGCGAGTACTAACCCAATCACGAAATTACGAAATATACTCAACATCCATTGGCCGGATACCATCAGCAACAGCCTACTGTGGGTATCACGAGGCAAGTACTAACTTGGAATCCCGAGAGTAAATGGAGAAGAGGAAGGCTGAAGAACACACTACATCGAGAATCAGAAGCAGACATGAAAAGGATGAATAGGAGCTGGAAAGGATTTTCCAGGACACATTTGGATGGAGAGTGCTGGTGGACAACCTATGATACTCGACGAGGGATAACAGGCGTAAGTTCCTGAACAACCACTTGATTCCTGTCTACACTCTTATGTATCTGTTATTGATATTCGACCTCTTATAAAGATTTAGAAAGTTCTTTAACAATACAATATGTAGTTTGTTAATCATATAACTAAATGTTTCAACTTATTTACTATGATGGTTATTCTGTCCCCTTTATCTTTGTTTTACCTTATTACAAATCTGTAATCATTTTCGTAAACACGATGAAATCTAAAATATTGTTATCGTCGAAACCACCGCTTCCACGAATCCTTCAAATACGCACTAACAAAAGACAATATTGATAAATTACGTCTTCTGTAGCATGTATGCAGCGTCAAATCCATCAGTTCGATATCAATTACAAGATTCAGACAATCTATATGGAGAAATCTAACAAACTGTTCATATGTGCGCAACTAAATCTTCTGTCATATAAAGTAGGTTAACGCTTATACCTTTCGGAACCATACTTTGAAAGTAAATTAGCTTCTTTTTTTCTTGAATATAATTTCATTAGTTGAGATCATGAGTCAACTGAAGCTAGACCACCATAGAAAACCTAGAAGCACTGGAAGGCCATTTCGTCCTATCGTGGGACTCTTCAGTAGTGTGCATTCACGATCTTGCCATGCGAGATTCGAACTCAGGTCATATCAGTCTCGCGCTCGAACGCTTAACCTCTAGACCACTGAGCCGACTAGCATCCAATGGTTTTAATGTCTAACTTCAACTAATTCACAAAATTGAGCGACACATCTACCATTGTCTTCAATGAGTTACTATCTAACAACAAATCTAGTTGAACTCCACTGGTCACTACTTCTCATTATAAAATAATAAATTATAGCTATTCAACAAAACAACAGAAGTGTTTAACCAGAATGTAATTCCTTTTTGTTTCTTAAAAAATAAAAGATAAAAAGAAAGACCAAATCACAGGAAAAGTTGGGACATTAGAATAAAAGTAATACATATTATCTTTAATAATCATAAAGGACAATCGGTACATGGTTCAATTAAAAAATCATATATAGAAACAGAAGTATAATTTTTTTTAAAAAAATATGAAAATATGAAGGATTCGATTGCATAATCATTTGTACTTGTTGTTGTTCTTTAAAGGAGAGAGAGAGAGGGGAGGATAATTGCACAAACACTGACCTATACATACACACACACACGAACATACACAGAGACAAATAAACTTGAATTAAGATGTTCATACATTTCGCCACTAACATTGTTTCGTCTGCCGTTTCCAAATTAAACATATATATATGCTTAATAGATCCATCTATTCATAATTCAATTGTATAATTAACCAATATTCTATATAACCTAATGTATAACCGGCTAGAATATCAATGAAATGATGACGATGCATTGCATAACGTGAATAACATATAATTAAATTCCAAAATAATAATAATATTAACCATAATGTAGATGTAGACAACCAAAGATGAGAAATTAAAAAGAATAACATTGTTGATCGGCTAGCATGACCTAAATTTAAAGAAGAAAATAAAAGGAGAAACGTAAGGCAAACAAAAATGACTAACATAAATTAAGTGTGTATCTTTTTTATTTGAAGTTGTCAGACAAAGTTGTTTATTTAAACACAATTATTGGTATAAGGAGGCACCGAATACATATGCGTCACACAAGTTACTTGATTTGTGTGTGGGCTGTAATACTGCCTGGGTGCCTAGACCGAAGCAGGTAGTTTTATTAGGAGGTCATGCACGTAGCCTTTGACTTACAGGTCTGATCCATAAGGCAGTGGAGCAAGTCAAGAGATGCAGTTCCATGGTAGCTGGTGACCAATAATTGTTTCATACGCCATTTGTTCCTTCAGGATACTGGAGTCCATGTGCACCAATGGTTTGGAATCAGGGTTCCCAACTCCTCCAGATGGATCCTCTGTGTCCACCAACCCGGTTAAAGCTCCGGACATTCTCTTTTCGTCTTCTCAATTCCTTAAACAATATTAATGCGGTGAGAAGTCAGTGAGTCAGATTTCTCTGGCAGTAGCTGTATACACTTGGCCTTGTAGGAGTATTTTGAGAGAGACCCAACTCTCCCCACTCTCAACCGTACCAGGGTATTTGGGGGCTGTCATACAAATTATTCACTATATAAACATATATTGGCTGGAGAAACATTGGATATTAGAGAGAAATATGTGATTGTTTCAGTTGAGATTGAAACACCTCATTTGTAGGGTATCATACTCACCGAGATATTATGAAGTACATTGCTGTAAAGGGTAGACTACAGACGAATAACTGTCAAGTACATTATGATCATTCAGCACAAATCAGTTCATGGTGAAAATCACGTGACGATAATAACAAAAATATAAATTTTTGACATAAAGGTGTTATGATCTATCTCTAACTATTCAAGTTGAAACATTAACTCAATAATAAATTGTAATTACTCCTCAAACAAACTTTCGCTATGGCCTCATAGTCACTCATACTCCACATCTCCAAATATATAAAAGACAAAAGATAGCTAAATGTTTGTTCGAGCTCCAATAGATGATGATACATAAAAAAAATCCGAGGCATTTATACTAATTTTAGTGTTCTTGCTTCCAAATGCCCTGGTACGGTCGAGGGCAGAGAGTTTTAACTCTCCAGCTCTTTAACTGGGTCGCTAGATACGGAGGGTCCACCTAAGAGAGTTGAAAAACTCCGATTCAAAACCAATGGTGCATATGGTCTCCAGTATCCTGAAGGAATAAATGGTGTTTGAACCAATTATTGGTCACCGGCTACCATGGGACTGCATCTCTTGACTTGCTCCACTGCTTTATGGGTTAGATCTTTATGTCTAAGGCTCCAGGTGTGACCTCCTAAGAGAATCACCTGCCTAGGTCTGGGCACTCAGGAAGTATAACAGCCCACACACAAATCAAGTGACTCGTGTGACGCATATGTATCCGGTGCCTCCTTGTACCAATATTTGTGTTCAAATATATAAATAAATAAATAAAATCTTCGACTATTCAAGCCACTAGTTTTATAACACTTAATTCAATAATATGCGCACATCGTTTAGAAATTTAAAGAGGAGAACCTGGTACCACAATAAACGAAACAGCTCTCTATTTTCTTTTCATTCTTGTTTAAACACTTAGTTGACATTTTAATCAAACCTAACACTCATAATTTATTTACATAACGTAATTGTTGATTCTGTTGTTCTTCTGTTTGAAAAAACTACGAGTAAAAAAATGGATAGTGGCTGACAGTGGAATTCAGGACGTGTGTTTCGTCCTATTTAGGACTCGTCAACTGGATGTACCTACAATTCTAAACATCAGTCGGAAGATTCAAGTGAATTAATTTGTATAGTCTAGACTGATAGGTCCTGGGTTCGAATCTTGCAAGGCGGGATCGTGGATGCACACTGTTGAATAACATCTTCAAACCCTAATGTTTCCGATTGCTGCTTATACTTTTCTACCTCTCCCACTATAGGATTTGAATCGACAATTGTATCTGTGTGCTAATGTGGTATGGCAACTCGAACTGATGTACGTACGTGCAAAGTTCTACGTTGTTGACTGACTAACTAATGATATATTACTTGAGTTTACAAGCCGAATCAACTGGGTCAGGATTCAAACACAAGATTGAATCGATTAGAAACCAAGTGTTGCAAGAATTAAAACTGTCACTTAGTCCATGTGTAGAACTTAAGGTGTCGAGCTCAAAATAAAATAAGATGAATTTCATTCATATTCTGGTTATAGACAAAAATAAATTCGATTACATCCTTTTTTCAATAAAACAAAGATAAGATTGCGAGAAAGCATAGAGAAGAATATGATTTAACTTCATAAAAACATACATACATACCAGAAGGGAATGACCAAGCATCAATACTAACAGTGAATAACATATCTGAATCATTATTTTCTTTAGGTCTTTGACGTCGAAATATAAATTTAATTAAACCGACCATTATTGCATCGAATAATAAAGCAATAAGTAAGCAGAATGGTTTTGTAATATTTCGGTTGACTACAATGTTAGACTGTTGTTCAATAGAAGGATTTTTCCAATTCCATATTGTTTCCAAAGATGAATAGGACTTAATGCCATGTGCATTATCAACTAACAATGTAATAAGCCAAATTAAAACAAATCCTATCCATAGAACACCATGACCTGTCCATTCCAAGAATAAGTTTAATTGCCTAATCCATTTTGATGCTGCCATATAGAAATATGTGACTTTGCAAGCACCTATACAAAATAAAATTGGAATAGTTTATTGTAATAGAATGACGAGGTGAATGTATTGTCATCAATAATACGAAATAGGGAGGGCGATGACTAACCAACCGAAAATCTACCTACCCAAGTCTTTGCGATTAAGTGGACTATGGTCCTTTTACATTTATTTGTTCATCATAGTCCGCCTGTGACATGATTTATTCCTTCTGCTGAGCGAGGTCCTATACGGATACATGTGGATTACAGGTGGTATCTGGTATGTCTATATGGAACGCTTCGAGTGGCAGCTATCATTTGTGATGAAGAGAAGGTAACCTTCATTAACCTAGGTCTAGTAGGCCTGCACTTCTAGGCCAGTCGGATGATTTTTTGTAACAGAATCACAGGGCGAAAGAACATCTTAACGTTTGTAAATAAACTGAACTACGTATACAGTACGTCCGGCAGTATTTAGAATTCGCCCTCAGATTCGAGCAGACAGTTTGCTCCCAAAACATCCTCCACTTCACCAGTACTGGCAAATGTGACATGGAATTCTAGTTCCTTTAAATCCAAAGTTCAAGGATAGATTTAGACAAAAATTAACTAGGCAGCTAATTGATCGTAGAGAAACAGGTCAACCTGATGAAGCTTTTAATAATGTCTAAACAGCTGTATATACGGCAGTGACACCTACTAACAACTTAAATCAAAATGTTAGAAAAGATCAGTGGGTTTGGGTGATACCCACCGGATTGATAGGTAATCGAAGAACCATCCGGTAAGTTTGAAGAACAACGAGAACTCAAAGGTGAAATAAAAAGTTTTCTCAATGATCGTGAGCACTGGTCGGCAGCGAAAACATATTAGATGGAAAACTTAGTGCAGATGGGTAACACTAGACAACTATTCCAACTCATTAAACAAAACAGGCAGTAAAAAACAGCGTTTAGAGCTTTAAAAAAGATAGGACTATTATTTACCTTCCATTCAGAAGATTTCCAAGATAACTGAAATTGTTACTACACTCAACTACTTCACTTTCTATCATTAGTTCAGGAGTTGAAACAGATCAGTCCTGAAGCAACATACTACATTTAGATGCAGAGACATTCCAAACATGTTAACATTGCTTCTCAGGGCGGTCAGAAAACTCTATTTTTTAAACATCACCAAATAAACAATACTAATAAAATCAGAGTGGAGTTCCGATATTTTAAGGGAGTGATCAATGACTAGAATGCCCTGCACAAACAAGTGGTATCAGCCCCATCAGTGGAAATTTTTAAGAAGATGAACCTTCACTGGAAAACAAGCTGCAAATATTAATAGAGTTCCACGAGTGTAATATACTTATTACTTGATCTGAATAAACACTAAGCGACTACGATTTATTTACAAACCAATCACATATGAGATGAAAAGTCTAAGATTTTGGTGCAGAATTCATCTTTTCGACTAAAAAGTGTGTAGGTATTTCAGCTGATGTCTGTTCGTGATGAAAACCCTAATTGTAGTTCCCGAGCCCAACTATCAACTGTAAATCCTAATTCGGATTCCTGCTATTGCTATATAACCCCTATTTAGTCCAAGTTAGTAAATGGACATCCTCAAAGTCACTTTAGTGCCGCTCTACGGCCGTCCATAAATTATAGTCGGGTCGGATAAACTCAGTATTTTACCTTGAGATACAAAAGGTGGCTATAATTCAAGGTTGAATTTCAATAAACAAGGACAGAAGGCCTAAAGCCTATTTTATACATTTTCTAGTATGCTTCTATGAGTGTCCAGTCTTCTCTTGAATGATTCAATTGAAAGTACGGACACCACCGCTCCGGTTAACAGGTTCCAAGTAATAATGACTCGGTGTGAAAACCTGTATACCATAGGTCTTTTGTTGGTTCTTGACTTTTCTAATCGCCTGCTATGTCCTCTGAGGTGTCCCGATCTAGTGGAGAGAAAAAGTAATATGTTAGGTCCAAAATCACTTCTTATTATTCCATGTATCAAATTTCGTTCCTCTGTACTCAGTCTTCAGTAGCACGGATAGGTGGTTTACCGACCTATATTTATCCTTGCAGATTGTAACACTGTGGAGGTTCAATTTCGTTTTGAATATATCAACAAAATGTTCCAGTAATTCACTACCTGGCGCGAAAAGCAGAACTCTAGAAATAAACTATTAACTCTCGGTTTTTAAACTTTCCTTAATTTCCCTTTCAGATGATCAGTCCTAGATGGAAGGGAGATATAAGATATGTCAATACTAAGGTCATCTTTCAGTATATGATTAACCAATATCAGATCGCTTCGTAACATGCAGTAAGATAAGTTGGGGTGGTGCAATCTGACTTTATGAGATAGACCAGAGAAACCTTTTACTATTTTGGTCCCTAGGTCATCATATAATATTATTCTATCTGATATAATTTGTGTGAGTCTTCAACTTCATCTGAAAGAGTAGAACAAACAACTTTGCTTCACTTGGTAAGTCATTTACGTTAATTGAAAAAACGGAATAAGACCGAGAATTGCATGTTAAGAAACTCCATTCTCTACTGATTCGTACGCTGACAGAGCCATATTTACCAGTATCCGTTGTCTCCTATCAACTCCACCTTGTAGCTCTCCAATAGTTACTACCGATCCAAAGCCCGGATATGGGAGGACAGTTGGACATAGAGTCGGCAACCCCATCCAGTAGAAAACAACCTTGCTAAAAACGCCAAACAGATCAAACAAATTGAACAATTTAAACTCTGCTCAGGGAGTTGAAGGAAGAATTACGACACCTCGTGATGAAAGCCGAAATGTCACCAGGCTGATGCCCTTTCTAACGACCAGAGCAACAGTTTTTATAAGTATATAGGATTTTTAGACAATTTGGGAGACTGGGAGGACCAACCAAGACAGCTACGGGATCAGTGAAACCCACTGAACCGAAGCTGGACAGAAAAGGCTAGATGTAGAAGAGATGCTGCAATACTCCAGCGAGCGAAGTAAAACTTCTCAGAATATACAGGTTGCGTTGATGCTATCCAAAGACGCACGAAATGCACTTATAGGACGGGAATCTCACGGATCCAGGATCATCAAAGCAAAGAAGAAGGGAATAACGAAGAATGTTATTCACTATTACGCACCCAAAAAAGATAACAGATAGGACATTAAATGTCAGTTCTACTCTAGGCTGCAACCAATCATATAGAAATGCCCAATGAAGAATCTCAACATCCTTGTGGAAACACTAAACGCCAAGATCGGAATGGACAACACAGGATGTGAATATATCACGAGACAACATGAACTGGGAAAGAGAAACGAAAATGGGAAGAGATTTGCAAATCTATGCACATTCAACAAATTGGTTATAGGCGGTACAATATTTCCACACAATGCTATATAGGTTTATTAAATCACACCACACAGAACCAAATCGATCATATTTGCATCACCGAAAATCTCAGGTCAATGGAAGACGTGAAACTAAGAGAGGAACTAACATAGCTTCAGATCACCACCTGATTGTGGTCAAGATGAAACCGAGGCTGAAGAAACATTGGACGACTGGGGAAACAGCGGTACAAAGTCTCAACACAGCCTTCCTTCGAAATACTAACAAACTCGACGAATTCAAGATAGCTCTCAACATCAGGTTCCAAGCCTTAAGGGAATTACTGAATGAAGAAGAAACTGCTGTGAAGGGTGAGTGGAAAGGGATGAAAGGAGCACTAACTTCAACATATTCGGAGGTCCTGGGATGTGACAAGCATCATCATAGAGAATGGATCTCTATCCGAATCCTGGACAAGATCCAAGAAAGGAAGAAAAAGAGGACAGCAATTAACAATAGCCGAACAAGAACAGAGAAAGTCAAGGCACAAGAAGAATACATTGAAGCAAACAAGCTAATCAAGAAGAGTACTAGAGACGAAAAGCAGAACAACGTGGAACAGCTAGCGACGACAGTGGAAAAGCTGCAACAGAAGGAAACATGAAACAACTGAATGGCATGACGATGAAAGTGGTAGGGAAATATTATAAACCAGATAGACTGGTCAAGGACAAAGAAGACAAGCCAATCACTGAAATTAAAGAACAGAGTAACTAATTGGTAGAACACTTCGAGGAACTCTTGAGTAGACCAGCTCCATCGAATTCACTAGACATCGAAGTAGCACCTACAAATCTACCCACAGATGTCACTCCACGAACGATCGAAGAAGTCGGGATGGTCATTTGACAAATCAAGAGTGGGAAAGCAGTAGGATCTGACAACATACCAGCTGAAGCACTGAAGTCGGTCTAGGATGCAACTGCAAACATGATCTTCGCGCTATTTAGGAAGATTTTGGAGGAAGAATAAATGCCAATGGACTGGAAAGAAGAACACCTCATCAAGACATCAAAGGAATGAAGTCCGAGGAAATGCGAGGCATATATAGGTATCACATAATTATCAGTACCAGGAAATGTCCTCAACCGAGTGTTGCTGTACTAGATGAATGATTCAGTAGGCGTCCAACTTCAAAGTCAACGTGATGGATTTCGTGCCGTGACAAATCCTCTCAAAAACATCTATGTATACACGGCATATTTTTGCCGTAAAGTGACACATTTAGTGCGTATATGATCACATACCTACATTTACTTGCCCATTTTGACCACAATCTTTGCCTCGGCAGAAATATATTCAATCTCCATACTTTCAATCATTTACATCTGCCAGCAAAATGGGTAGCAGCATAATCTTAATTCACTGTGTTTCCACTGACGAAGTGATTGCTTGTGAGTGTTCATAAGGAATGAGAACTTAAAACTGAAGCGTTCAGAACTGGCTTAGTCCGGTATGAAGCAAGAAATACCAAGTACTGAAGAGTTCTTAACCGATGAGAGATCCTATTGACATTTTCGATAGCTTTCGCAGCCGGAGCAATAATAACGCATTTATGATAAAACGATATAAATCAGTTGAATGTGTTCCATGATAATGCGTTTGCTGGAACTGTTCGTGTTTCATTTGGTGATAATGATAAAACCAGCTAAAGTATTTTTAGGACAAAAGAGCAAAATAATTTGTATAAACTTAAAACAGGAATAAGGTAATTAATGTGACGTGTTGACAAACGTCAGAGGAAACAGTTTGTGACGTGGAGGAAAGAAGAACAATGGGTTGTTGAACTTCTTGCCTCAGATAACCAGTCAGTATTCTCGTTAGAGGTAAGAAGTTTGCGGATATGTGCGAAACTGTCCAGATTTCTCATGTAAAGTATTCTAATGAGGCTATGATGATGTCTTTTCAGTAAAAATTTCAGAGGGTGCAGACTGAAAGTACAAAGTGAACATACATCTCACTGATATATCATGAACTGAGAAGTTTGGAAATTTGATTGATTTATATCAGGATTATTCATTAAGCAAAGTGTCGATTTTTATGCAATTTCTCTTTATGAAGGCCTTAGCACACGTCCTTCCCTGATTTATCTCCTCTTGTACAGAAATTATTTCCCTATTTCACACAGTCTGAATTCCAACCATCTTCTAACAGGCATTTTCCTATACAGTTCAAGATGTATTGTTTTCTTGCATGAAACTACCAGTTCACTAGATTAGCTAGAAATAGTTAGTAATAACTCTGAACGTATATTCTCAAGCCGCATTGTTGTGGGTGTAATGGGACGTATGCGTTGAAAATCCTTCCAAATTGTTCTACTTTTATTTTATTTTTAATATTCTATTAGATTTTTATATAACCTTTTGTTCAGGATTCGTTTAAACATACTTTGGCATTTCTCAATCTCCTTTGATAGATCTCTATTATTCAAGTCCATTGTTGTATGGTCTTGGGTAATAGACATTGACTTCTTTAACTGAACTCGAGATTACGTTGCAGTAGGTGGCTCGTAGGGATCTTTTACTGTCTACTGGAAACGTTTGTGATTTTATTAGATTTTTTAGGTAAATATCTGATATAATTTTGTAGGGAATATTTTTGATTTTCAGTACATAAATTATTACCAGGTAAGCCTTTGAGTGCTTAGTGTGAGTGATACCATTGAGGGCTGCATAGAATACGCACAAACGTTTTTATAGATAATTGTTGAATACGGGTGCGAGAAAAATTAGGAGTAAAATGAAAATAGTAACGGAAAGCACTAACTAGTGAATGTAGTTCTGTAAGATTTTTCGGAGACTGTGCATTCGTCAGTGAAGCTGCTTGCCTCATATCTGGTTTAAGACAGTTACCGTCAACTAGGTATCCAAGACATTCAAAATTAGAAGCACAAAACGAATATTTATTTGGATTCACCGTAATATTCTCCATCAAAACGATACAATAAAGCAATAAGTCTGATCATGAACTACTTTGTCTTAACCATAAATAATAAAATCATCTTGATAAACCTCAACACCTTATTAATCACTTCCTGAAATATGTCTGGAGAACAACTCAGAGCTAACGAAAAGAAGTTGTATTTGAATAAGCCAAAAGGAGTTTTAATTGTTGTCAAATCAGATAAGGACTGATCCGAGATTTGAAGACAAGCATTATTTAAGTCAACTTTTGAGAATACCTTAGAACCATGAAGTTGAATAAGACTATCTTTAGATTTTACCGCTGTGAATGTTGGCATCAACAAACGATGATTCAGTGTTGACTGACAGTCACCACA